CCCCCCCCCCCCCCCCCGCCCCACAGCCTCGACAGCCTCCGCCTCCCTTTTCCATTGGGGATGGCTTGCTGGCCTGCGCCCATCGCAGCTTTGCCTCGTCTGGGCGCCGGCCCTCGAGCGACAGCGCCAGATCACGGCAGGCCTCAACGGTCAGCCTGAGTCGAGGCACGGCTTAGTCCCTGCCAGCCCGCTCTTAACCCCGCAACGAAGAGCGACGAGCCCGCACTCTTAACCCCGGCGGCCTGCTTTCTCACACATCCCGCTGGCAGGAAAATCACCGTCAGGGATCCGCATGGAGGCTATTGCTCCAAGGGCTCCTACAGGCCCCCAAGGGGGTCAGCTTTAAAGACGTCACGGAGGTGACTTGAAGCCACGCCTCACGGACAGATTAGCACGTGCAGACAGGCACAAAACTACGGGTGCAGCGCGCGGGTACACAAGCTGCACGAGCCTGCTGCTGTGAGTACTGGCAGCTCAAAGTTGCACCAGTTTGTTTAATTTGGCATGCATATGTCCCGCCGTCGGCTTCTATGCGATTCTATGCTAGCGACGGGGACAGTTGCACGAGAAAGCTATCACCGAGGTCCTGTCCACCCTGCTCAACAATGGCACGGGAGGCGAGGATCATGACCTTGTCGACAATGTCGGTGTTTGTCTGGTCCCGGGGCAGAGGTGGTCGGCGTTCATTAACGTAGCGGTTGTTGAACGGTTGCGCCCAGTTGTTCCCGGCTACCTTAGACTTCCATACCGTCGTGAGATTTATTCCGTCGAGAGATTATGCTGCAGACAGCAGAAACTATCCGTGGAAAACCATTACAAGCTGCCTGGTGAGTAAGTTCATGCGGGATCGCCCTGGCGCCATGCATGACCCCCACGACGCCTGCGAGAGTGGGTGCCTGGTTGTCACAATCGAAGCCAGCTGCAATTGCAATGCCAACGGTTCGCTTGAAGTCGCCCCCACCATACAGGAATGCCATGGCGCCCATGGCTCCATTCACCATCGCCGAGACTCCACAGTTCCATGGAACTCCACCACAGTTGGAGGGGTAGTAAGTGTATGCATTCCTGATCTTGTACCAGGTCTGTCTCCAGTCGTGGGGACTCTCTGAGTGCCACTGCCGAACATCCTGCAGGGCTTTGTGGTACGGACTGTCTCCCGGAACCTTTGACATACCAATGTCATACATCCTGTGGACATCATTGCTAAAGAAGGCAGCGCTGTAAAGAGCAGCGTAGAAGCGGGTTGGATGCGTTCCCCAGGAATCGCTGGTAATCTTGGCCCCCCACTCTGCGCGATCCACAGCCTAAGCAAACGAAAAATCTGCAAGGTATCTTCACTGAACCTGAAAAGATTGGCCGTCGCTGAGCTCAGTACCTTGTCAACCATGCCAGGATAGACAGCGCTCCAGAGCTCGTTCACAAGCTGTGGGTCGATCGTCCACCAGAATCGGTTGTGTCCCTGTGAACCGGTAAGTGGCGGAATCTCCCCTCTGTTCATATTTTCTCGCGCGACCTTGTTCGCAAACCAGAGCGCATCGCCGTTGACCTGGATGTGGACATAGCTCTTCCAGTATCCGGCGATCTGCTTGTAGTTCAAGCCAAGACCATGCTCCATCAACGCATGCAGGGTGACAAACTCGATGTCCGTGTCGTCCTAACCACTACGACATAGCGGGTATCCCTGGAGCTTAGAATCCGCCCGAAAAAACAAAGAACTGTTAAACCCTGACGTCCTTGCATAAGCCAGGATTTTCGAATAACTAATCTCCAACAGGAAACGGAAATTCGCGTCAGACTCTGGAACTTAGCTGTGGCTTCCAGAACCAGAACAATATAAAAGTGGAGAGCCGGGGCCGGGGGGTCTGTTTTCCCCGAGCGTTTTCATAGTATTTCATCGTTTCCCGCTGTCCGCAATCCATGTTACCAGGTAGCAAGCTGAAAACTCTAATGTGCGGAGAGCTCCAGCGAAAAGCGAAATCAGGATGACAAGTTCATACATATGACCTGAACAACAGGACATAATCTGACAGACGCCGTCGGAACCTTCGTAGCTGTTTCAGGCATAATTATGTGTCTTCAAAGTTCACCGCAAGCAGCAACTCGTCTCTAAAGTCCCAACCTACAACTCTGCATACTACAAATGTGCCTTGCGCCAAGGCACATCAGTGTATGCTCCCTGGAGTTGATTCAACCTCTGGGGGATGCGTCCTCGCCCATCTGAGTTGATCCTGAGGCCGGCAGAGTGGGCGCTGTGCTGGTCGTAGTAGCCCTGCGGCTCGATGGGCATGGGCGAGTCGTTGTACAGGAACTCGAAGGGCCTTCGTGCTTTCATTCGTTGCCATACTGTCAAGCACAGATAAATCAATTTCGAGCGTCTCCTGAATGGTCACCCATGGCAGCCATGTGCTGGCAAGAGAAATGCCCATGCACGATGGTCCGGAACCTGCTGATTTTAGTCAAGGCGCAAGCCCATGAAGTTGCCCACGAGTTGACCCACCCAGTAGCCCATGAGCTTATCGTAGAGGACATGCTTGCTGATGGTCCGACTCGCCCCGGCTAGGGAGCCGAGGTCTTTGGTCTGGTTGGATCCTCGGAGCTGGGCGACATCCGCAGCTGTTGCACAGCGGAGGGCCAAGACGGACAGCAACAGGTTTCGTGCCATGGCTGTGGGCTTGAAAAGGCTTGAACCGAAAGCTAAGCTCTGTTTTTTTCCGCAGGTTGGCTTCCGCATGCGTCTAAAGTCTGTTTTGCAGCTTCGGAACTGGCAGGGCATGGCAAGGACAAGGTCGATCACTTCCAACACGATCTGCTTTGCATCCTGACAGAGCAATGGCGGAACTGCTGGGCACAGGGCTCGGCCTCCCCCTGTAGCTTCCGGCCTCCGGGTCAGGGAAGGCAAACTCATTCGCAAGGGCAAATGCCAGCCCGTGGTGCCGGTGAGCAGACGTAAACCTCGCGATTTCTGTACCACGACAAAAACTCTCCTGAACTCTTCTGGCCACCAGGCCCTCCACCTGTGGCACTTCATCAGCTCGTGGCCCTCGTCCTCCTCTTCCAAGTCTCCAGATCTCGCTGCCAGCAGGGATGCCTTGGCCTTCCTGGGCGACCGTCCCAAGACGAGTCAAGACGAGTCTGAGACGAAACGCTATCATCGGCTGGCTTGCAGATGGGTGGCGCCTCTTCTTCCAGCAGTCGCTGCACCGTCGACGGCGACCGTCTCCACAGGTCGCTGCCGAACACGAGATCGGATGGGTCGCCTCCGGCACAGCTTCAAGCAGGGCCTGACATTCATCATGCAAGGAGTTAGCACACCAGGCAGAATCTCCCGCCAACCTTCGAAACATCCAGAAAATCTTCTAGTGTCGTCTTGGGCAGAAGAGCAGCGGCAGCATTCACACCTGCGCCGAGAAAACTTCTTGCCCGGAGCGTAGCAAAAACTGAGCGCACAATGTGCGAAGCCGATGCTATATACCCTTTCTACACACCCGGGGCTGCTTCACGTGAAGGAGACCAGACACGCCCGTAGCCTGAACTCGTACTGCTCGGCCAACTCCTGTCAAGTCCACGTCTCCCAGCAAACATCCTTCCCTCGTCTTGTGAGACCTTCCCGAGTTCTGCGAAAGACACGCGCGACATGGAGTGCTGGCAAGGCGCCGCTTGGCGAGAGGCGGTGTCCATCAAGAGTCCGGCATCATCTAAGTAGGACACCGTGAGCTCCTGCGCTACACCGTCGCAGATTTGTGTTTCGGATCTTGGACCTTGAACCGCATAGAATGCAGAGCTTGCTGTGAGCGTAGGCATCGGCGACCTCGATATTTTTGCCTTCGGGCCCACTAGTACGAAGATGTCCTGAAAAATGCAGGGTTGCAGCTGGTCCTCCCCAACAGACACTGCCCGGACGGCACGCAAAGTTCCAAGGTCTGCATCCACCAGGCCTTGCGAAGAAGAGTTTAACTGGCAGCTCTTTTGAAACCGTCAAGCTACGAATGGCGAGGTCCGCATATGCTGGCAACGAAAACTGACCCTGTAAACAGCTGGAACCGATTTAAACAGTCTGAAAAATTGCTAGAAAAGTCGCTGCAAGCAGCCCCATAACAAATCGTGACGAGGCCGGTTTCTGAAAGAGTTAGAAAAAGCATGGGCCTCATCCTTAAAATGTGATTCGACTAAGCTTCAGGAAATCTTCGAACATCTTCGAATGTCTCCAAACTAGGTTTCGAAAATGTCGGACTAAGTTGAACCTGGCTGGCCCCTTAAAGGACTCTGGTGCGTTATCACAAATCATGGTATAGTAGGGTGTAATATAGCATGTGCCCGTTTAGTCTAGTCTAGCATAGCAAAGCATAGTACTCTAGTATATTGTAGTGCGTTTGCCAGAACTTGCCAGGCAGACTTTTTGTTGCGAGACAGCTTTTTCGATTGTTCGCTTATTGCAGCTAACAAAAGTGTGCATGTAATGACCATGTAACTGTAAGTCGCGCCAAGATTCAGTTGGGCAGGCAGGAGTGATTCGCTCTTGCCAAAGTCGGGAACACCACCTGCGATGACCGAGGCGCCAAAAAAGCACGACATTGCTCGAAGAAAGCGGGTGTTTCCCATGATGAGGCCACTTCCGTGGCCTGGTCCTGACCCGCTGGCCCGGCCCCGAAGGAGTTGAAGTGCAGCACGGACTTCACGAAGAGGGCCTCGGGTTCTGCCTTGGTGCAACACGGCATCTGCGGGAGCATGATATCTCCTGGCAACTACTCCATCATTGGCAAAGCAGGGACATCTTGCATCCCGACAGCCTACGCAGTATGGCCCATGACTTCCCCAGTTTCTTGGCCTCTTGGACTCTTTTGCATCGGGGCCCCAGGACTCTTCGCTGAAACCGTCTTGTCGCGAATCAGCGGGAGGACAGATGCAAGTAAACAGGCTGATGGACAACTGTCTCAGGGAGCCCTCTCCAAGTGAGAGTCCCGAGTCGTACTCACCTCTCGCTGGTCTTTCCGCATCAGCTAGACGTCTCGATGAGATCTTCAGATGCATTTCGGGTACATAAAGGCGCGGTCGTGGGCTACCACCACACTGGAAAATCGACAAAGCATCCGACTTCCGGAACCCAATCCCACATGCTCGCGCACGCCATTGCATCGGCCACTGCCTCAAAACTTCTCAGACAGAGATGTTTACCTCTGGGTTGGGCCAGACAGTGGGCTTACCCCCCGTTGATGGCTGATGCACAACGCGCTCATGCGCCACATTCTACGAGAGTGGACCTGCGAGGTATCCACACCTTTCTTACGCCGCGGCACTCTTTGTGCATGGTGTGACAAAGAATACTATTGCACGATTCAGCTCCTAGCACCGGGCACTTGAGGCTGAGAGGCTTCTCTTGTGGTTGCCCGCAACCGCTGTAGTGCAGGACTTGTGCTCTCCGGCGGAACGAAGAGCTTCGCCTGTAAGAAGTTTGGGATAATGCTTGCCCACAGAAGATACAGAAGCTGCTCAAGGCGCGCATCCACTGCTCTCGCCTGCCGCAGCCTTGGGGCCTTCTGCAAGGCCTCGGCAGTTAGGCGCCGGAGCCGCGGGACGCGGAGAAGCGGCAGCTCGGACAGCACGAGGTCCTCGGTTCGGGTGCGCAGGGCGCAGCATACGCGCCCCTCTGGGTGCACCAGGCTGCGCTGAACTCAGCCGAGGCTCGCCCTCGGAATAGTTGCACGTGGCACGGAGAAACTGGCCGAGCTCCGGCCGAGCGGCATCAGAGACGACCGCTGGCGATCCCATCAGGTCACCATGCCATGTGGAAAAGGTTGGACAAGTCACTGCGAAGTCCGAAGGCTCAGCTATGCGGCTTCTCCAGCTAAGCCAGGTAAGGTGAGAAGGGTGCTTGCTGCAGAGTGAGAAGTAACCTTAAGCTGAAGCAAGCCTCGAGAGGCTAAATGCGCTTGGTGATGCTTAATGCCCAGCCCGGAAGAGTTGTGCAGATTCACCAAAACCGATTGGCAGCCACATTCGACGTGAAACCCGAAACAGCACAACGCTTCGTAACGACGAGGCCTTAAAGCGGACGGTCGGATTGGACACTTCGTCGTCCTGACAACAAGCATGCGGAAACATCTTAAAATAAGGAAATGAGTCTTCGCTTGGTGTCGATCACCATGACTTACCATGCAACTGCCCAAGCACTACCGAGCAGTTTGGCTGGGCACCTCTTCAGATCGAGCGGTCCGCCATTGTTAGTTATATCATTTATATCTGCAAAACAGTAATTGCCCCTCTTGTCGTTTCGACGACGCAAGTATAGGGCCCTATACATCACCCTGATTCGAGTCTTCGCCTGAAAACGGCAGGCTAGGCACAGCGAAATCTGAAGTCCAAAACTAGAGCGATTGCGCTAGCATCTTCGAAGCTGCGGAGGCTGCACGCGACTCTTCGAACTATCTTCGATTATTCTTCCCCGCGTGGCAAACCACCCTCTGCGTGAATTCTCGATTTAATCGTCTCTTGTTGCCACGTAAGCCGTCTATCGTCGAACCATTTCACGCTGCTCCGGGATGCTCCGGGCTTTCCATTGGAGCTTTCTGCTTCCGTGCATGGCTTTACTCGTGTCCTGGCCTAGCCGGTCGTGAGTTTCGAGACTGAAAGGCTTCAGGTGTCCGGAAAGGAGGTGCTCGCAGTGTCAACGAAGGTTTGAAAGGGCACAGAAGGGCTTCGTCCAAGACGGAAAAGGAGAAGAGCCAGGATGCGCTCGCAAATTGGCTGCCTCGCGAGCTTTGGCATGAACGGCGGCTTTTGCTCTCCGCCCACTCCCTTCCCGCTGTCGCCTCGGGGATCCCATGCTGACGGCATGTGATGCCTTCCCGTCTCTTTATTTGTTACATTCATTCAGGGATCGGGCTGGAGAAGAACTAGCTATTCGACAGAAGCTGAAAAGCTGTGAAGCTGGCGGGGTCAGGCCCCGACGCAACGTCACTGGTGTCACGAGTGGCGTCTGGTGCCTAGCCCGTCGTTTTGCGCAGATGCCTGACGCACCCCTTTGATCCCAGATCCAACCGATCAGCTAACGGCCCCCTTTTTGAACCCAGACTCCGCTGAAACCCTAAACCCTTTCCAGCACGAGCTTGGATTGTGCACTCCTAAACAGCAGAGCCTCCTCGCCCCTCAGAAACCCTCAAACCTAATCCCTCCTAATTCCCTAAATCCTTCACACCCCTACAAAGCCAGCGGTTTGTAAGCCCCTCCCCACCCACCCCCCCCTCGTACGTGCCAGACATAGCGTGCCGTGTCAAGTCCTTGCGCGAAACCCCCTGCTCATTACTCGACGCCTCGCAGCTTCACAGCTTCTCGTAGCTTCGCCCACTTTCCGGTGCCCCCTAGCCGTAGCGCAGATGCTGCTGCTGCTGCTGCTGCTGCTGCTGGTGGTGGTGGTGGTGGTGGGGGGGTGGTGGTGGTGGTGGTGGTGGTGGGGGTGGGTGGCGGCGGTGGTGGTGGTGGTAATAGTGATGATGGTGATGGTGGTAGTGGTGATAATGCTGTCCTTGTTGTTGTTGCTGTTGCTGT